CCCCAAAACCCCAAAACCCCAAAACCCCAAAACCCCGGAATAGCCCATACAGGTTGATTTTTATTTTTATTTCTGGCTTTTGAAGATTTCGTTAAAATTTAGACACCGTCGAAATCAATAATATCTTTGTCCTTTCCAATCCAAGCAAAGATCCAGGCTAGGATAGAAGAGATTATAGGTAGGATACCTGCAAGAAGTCTCAGCCATTGTACCTTCTCAATAACTGTTGCACCGATAATGACAAGTAAGATTCCACTTGAGAACTTGTCTAAGAGGCTATAAGTCCCATATACAAAGGAACTACTCTTGTTGTTTCTTCCAAGCATATCTGAGATCAGACTACTTGCTACGTTCAAACCGATTGCTAGTCCAATTCCTTGAAACGGGACCAGTAAGTAGACTATCCAATGTATTTTTGGTGATATGAATAAGAACGGAATTGATGAAACTATTACTAACATCGCTCCATACATCAACGTTGTTAGTCTGTTATACTCGTTGAAGTATTTATTTAGCGTGTTCGAGTATAAAAGAGTGAAGACCATCGAACTGAAGTAAGACACCAACGGTACAGAAGCAATCTCAGGCGGTGTCGGCTCTTCTTCATTCTTTTCGTATTTTAGAACATGGATCAAGTAAAATGGTGTTAAAGTCATTGTTACATTGATGCTCATTCTTGTGAGAGTATAGACAACCCCGTATGCATAAAACTGGGTGATTGAAAGCCACTCTGACCAGTGTTCAACAGAGTTTCCTTTAGATTCGACTGACCAACTGGAGTACTGAATTCCCTGACTTATAGCTCTGTTAGAAAGCTTAACTTCTGGAACACCATAGAGATAAAATAATCCGCTAACTACTCCAATCAATGTAATTAGAAGGGCTAAGATTCTAAACTGCCATATAGCATTTGGCACAAATTCGAACAACATGAGTGCTACTGAAAGAGTAAATAAGTTAGACCCAAAAGTTCATGCGTTTCTGTATGAGATCAAGGAGTCTCTTTGCTTTTGGTCATAAGTAATAGATACAATAATTGACATTGTGGAGATCTGTACTGCTGCCCATCCAATGTTAAACAGAGCTGGCAAGATTATATAATAAATAAAGGCAATAGTTTTGTGTCTTCTTGTATTTCACACCCTATCCTCTGTCAGTCCTCATATCAGATCACAGGCATAACAAGTATTAAAAGTCAGAATAAAGGATGGAATTACCAAGAAAGTTCCAAGTAAAAACCAAGGTGTCCTTTTACCAATTCTTGTGTTGGTTTTATCCATAAGAAATCCTACTAAGTTTGTTGCAATCCCATCCGCGATTTGGCCTGAGAGGAGGGCTAAAGATGCCAATTTTGGACCCCATCCAACAGTGTAGCAGATAAAGTAGAGGAGATACATGAACCACACAGTTGCTCACATGTCATTGTAGATATGAGCTGAAGCATAAGCGACTCAGTTCAGTGTAGAAAGCCCTCCTTTCTTGGCTTCTGATTTTTGATCCAGGAGAAGACGTCCGCCTCTATCTGTCCCTGCATTTCTTGTAGCTAAAGATAGTAATCAGATAAGAAATTTCATGAGAATATTTACTTGCAATATCTTGAGGAGAGGTGAAATCAAGTTCCGCCTGCATCTTTTTCTTCAAATCTACAGCATCATTAGTCTGAGCTTGACTCATATTTAAAAATCAATAATTTATAGCCACGTTGGGGTTTTGGGGTTTTGGGGTTTTGGGGTTTTGGGG